TTCCAAATCTGGTTCTTTCATTGAAAGGGGATTTGGACCTGGGCCTACCAATAGTATTGATTTTTATTTTTCTATTTTAAATTATATAATGGAATAGTCTATTGTTCCAGGCTATCCACCAGATTTAGATGTTTAGTATATTTTTAATTTTTTTAAAAATTTTTTTAGATTTTGATTATATTTTAGTTTATATTATACGTTTGCTTATGCAATAGATTTAATTATATATTTTTTCAAATTTATATAGAAATTTATATTTTATTAAAAATTACATAATAATAAATAAATTAATTATGATAATTAATTAACTTAAATTTAAACTTTTAATTGATATACAATATGGAAAATTCAAAATCACAATATAAAAATTATTTATAATTTTATAAATAATAATTAATATATATATATATATATATACTAAACTGCAACTGTATTAAATACGGGCTCTTTATTGAATAAATGTTTTCTATAGTAATGATATTAATCATCTTATCTTATACAAACCATATAGTTACTTTCAAAAGTTTAAGTTCACTTATTATATTTTAATTATAGAATTTAATTTTATCAATTTTTAAATTTTTAATTATATAATCAAAAATTATAAAATTTATATATATTATACTTTAATACTATTTTCACTTATTTTATTTTTTTCAAAAATTTTTCTATATAATTTTTAAATTTTTACTTTTGATTGATTATTATCACAAATCATATAATATTTAATAACAAAACTTAAAATTATTTATGAAATTTTTTTTAAAAAATATAAGAAATAGAAAAGATATGATATCATATATGTAAATTTTATGATTTTAATTGCATAATTAAAGATTTAAAAATTATTAAAGTTTAAATTTATAATAAAAACATAGTAATTTGACTCAAACTTTTGGAAGAAATCATATATTATATATATATATATATATTAATAATAATTTATTACAATTTTTCCTAATTAAATTATACAATTATTTCTTGAGTAGACAGACTTAATTAGAAATTAAAGATTAATACTTAGTTATAAATAGTATAATAAGGTTAATTAGTATTAAGTTTACAAAGTTAATCATGTTTTACCAATCTAGTTTTATTAATTATATATTCAATAGAATTTGTCAAATCCTTCAATATTTTCAAATATTATTCACTCAAATTTTAAAAGGATGTATATTACTATTATTATTATTATCTGTAATATCAAATCAGTTTTTATTGCCTGATTTTTATTTAAGAGAAGTATTAGATTAAAATATTTTTAATCATAAGAAAGGGATCTTAGATTTTTGCCAAAATAAAAATTATATAATATTTGAAATAGTTAGATCAAAGGCCTTTTTTAATAAAATTTTTATAACAATGTAATTTTATATTTCAACTTCTAATAAATGGAAGTTCAAAAGTTTTATATTTATATAATTTAATTTCTTTAATCTTGTTCTAGATAAATGGATATAACTTTTGTAGAATACAGTAACTATTAAATTTTGATTTGATACTTAAGTAATATTGAACAACAGATCTTGTAATTGTGACCTAGAAGTATTATCTTTGTACTATTGATCCACAGATCAAATACTTTAAATTTAAAAATTAATTATAATTTAATATAAAATATACATTTGGAACTATAAAAAATTATTTATGGTATTAAATTAATAAAATTATTTATAATTAATTTTTCTAAAAATTATATATTTTTTATTCTTTTATTTTAAAAATAATATATTAGATTTTTATATGATATTTAAATAAAAAAATTTTTTTTTAATATTTATTTAAAAAATTATATATTTCTTATTCCTTTGTTCTTATAAATAATATTTTAAATTTTTATAATATTTCAATAAACTTAATTAAGTTAATATACAACTAATTAAATATTATCAATATTTTTCTGGGTTTGTACTGAATTAATCAATTATTAAAATAACGTTGAATTTTTAATCGGTGATTACGAATCGGCTCTCGAAATTATCTAATTCCGACGTTTCATGCCGTCAACTCGTATTAGAGTGTCGATAAAGTATCGATAATAATACTCTTTACTTATTTAAAGCCTCGGACTTAAAAAAATAATATTATATATATGCACCATAAAAAGTTATATAAAGAGTAGAAATATTTTTACTTCCATTTACCTTTAAAATTTAGTTTTTAAAAAATTCTTAAGTTCAATCATTAAATTAAAATGCGTCTAAATTTATTTGTTCTTTTCGTCATTCCTCTAGGCACTGTTTGCGGTAAAGTTTTTTCGAGTCATTGTTTAATGTGTAGTCTTATCAGGTTTTGCTTGTCCAGAAGCACATGGTTTATGTGGCAAAGTATGCGTGAGTTTATTTATTTATTTTTTTCTGCTGTTGGATTTTTTTAACGTCTATACTCTTCCTAAATTTTCGCAATCACTTTCGCAGTGCGGTAAGGAGCAAACTTGTCGAAAAGGATTATGCAGCTGTCTCCATGGCAAAACACTTTGTGGTCTTGCCTGCCTTGACACCCAAAATGATAGAAATAACTGTGGAGGTTGCCATAACGCTGTGGGTATTTGCATTTTTTAATCTATTGATAAATTTCTCTCTTTAACTTATTTTTCACCACTTTTGTAGTGCGGTAAAGGGCAAATTTGTCAAAAAGGATTATGCATTTCAGATTTGTAGTTAAAATTGTGATTGCATTTGCCGCATCAGTTTAAAATCAACTTGTTTTTGATATTTCGATAAAATCGCATACGTAGTTGTTCGAATAATAACTTTTTTTTCCTGTCCTGTGTAAAAACATTTTAATATTATTTCCTGGAAATTGAAATGACTCTTTCATTTCCTTTTTCGAGAGTTCGGCAAATAATTTAATTATTGGTGGTTCTCTCACGAGATTTAATGTATTTAATATTACGTCTACAGATGTTTCTAACGGATTATCGTTTTATACACGATACGTATTCTAACAAAGATTTAAGTAAAAAAGAATATTGAATATTGGATTGTTTTAAAACAGGCCTCTTTAAAATTGTTTTTTAAAGGAGATTCTTCACACAGCAATTATTTTTTATCTTAGCAACAGAAAAACTCTTCTTTCCAGGTGCCTCCATCCTTGAAGTGATTATAAGAAATAATCCACTTATTTTCATATTTACCCTCTTGCTTCATCATTTTAACTGTCAAATTATTAATATATTTTATGCTTTCCTCAATAAAACCTTTTTCCTTTAATTATTCAAATGCTTCAAATTTTTCAGGACTTGGCTGCGCAGAAATTTTTTCTAGAAGAAGCTCGGAATGCCCGAAACATTACCTTATTGAATTTTCGTACAAATTCAAACAAGTAATCCAGGTTGATCTAAAGACATTTTTTGTTTTTAAACCAAAATTTGCAAGATATCTAATGCATTCCTTAGAATAAACGGATTACTTAAAGAGTTCTTTTAGGTTAGTAATTCGTTCGATATCTTCCAGATAATGATTAAGATCCCAAGCTCGTTCTTCTGAGCCAACATTTCCAACATATTTCTCAATATACATTTGGTTTGGTTTATTTAAAAGGGAGCCACCACTAATTCTTAAAATCCTGTGACCGGTAGCACCGGTCTATCTTGATTCAGGTGAGGATTAAACTAATGCTCTCTTCGACAGCTAACAATAGCGCGGTCATTCCATCAAATTAAATTTAATAATGATAAAAATAAAATAAAAATAAAAATTACGGTTCTTATCTAAGTTTTTTATTTGTTCTATTAAGAAAAAAATTTTCAAGCATTTTTCAATAAATTTGCTTCAAGATTATTAATATCAGATAATGAAATAAATAATGGAATGCGTTCGCCTCTGCCATAGAATCTACAGTATAGTATTCGCAAAGTTTATGAGTCAGAAAACAGTTAAAAGTTGATTTACCGGCACCCAAATCTCCCAATAAAAGTAGCATTTGTTTATTTGAACCTTGTAAAAACTTTTTTACCATAGAAGACAATTTATGTTTCTTTGCAATATAAGGCTATTAAATCTTCTGTTTCAAGCTTCCTTAAATTCTGAGTCATATCAAAAAAGTTCGTTAAAAAGGGTTGTTCTGATACTGTCATAGATAGTTCAGCTTGAGGTTACTGACTGTACGGACCCCAGTCAATGGTATTATGGTCTACATATTTAAAAACTTAAATGTTCTTTTTATAATGTCATTGTCTTGCCAAGTACTTTAATTGTTGACAGAGACCCCAGAAAAATTTGGGCTGGTGGTCGGTAAATTTCTCCCACAAATATCTACCTGATTACTTTGAATAAGGAGGTTTGTATGGCGAGTACTGTGTACCACTTTTTTACTTTATTAATTATTAAAAGAAAATTTCCAGAAGATTAACAAACGGTATGTGGTAAACATCCTTTTCAGTAACTGCATTGAGTTTCCTATAGTTAAAACAGAAGTTTTGCTGATTGTTTTTTTTGGATATCATAATAACAGGGAAAGACCAGGAGCTTGTGATAGGACTTTGATTCCTCATTGATACATTTTCTTAATTTTCTTTTTGATGAATTCCTGTTGGTCAGGTGAGGTATTATATTGTTTCTTCTTAATTAAAGTAACTTTTCTAGTATTAATGCTATGGATAATCATTTTTGTTCTTCGCAGATTACTTGTTTGCATTTCTTGCAGATTCTACTAATGAAAGCATTTTTTAATTATAAAGAATCTTGATCTGTTAATCTCCATTCAAAATTTCAGTAATAAATTCTGGAGTAGGTTCCTTAGTTCAATATAGTCAAAAAAATTAATAAAAGGATTTTTATTCACAGATTCAAGCACAAAATCAGATTTTTCAACCTCCTGTTTTCAATATTGCCTTTAGATTCATATTCAAGTTCATTAAGAATTTATTTTTATCATTTATAATTATTTTTGTTTAATAAAATATAAAAACTATTAGTATAATAAATAATTTCAATAATAATATTTATTTTTATAAGTATTTGAAGAGCAAAGTTTCAAAATCCAAACTTGCTTTTATATAATTCAATTAATTAATTTGCAAAAAAAGAAATTTTTTATAATTAAATTATTTTCAGAATTATTAGTACAATCAAATTTTGCTAAAAATTTTAAGAAGATTATTTGTCTAAAATATCAATTTATATATTTTTTGTAATAATTCAATAGTTTTGAACTTGGCATTAATCAATATATTAAGTTTTCTTATAAGTTTATTAGTATTAATACTGATAGTAACACTAAGTTGAGAATAATTATAAAAATTTGCTTTTAATACATATATAATAATTAGTAAGTCAAAAAACTCTTTTGCACAGATCCTTTTTTTTCTTAAAAATTTCCTTTTTGATAATTTTGGGAAAAAAGAAAGAAAGTGAATAGAAGAGATGAGTTCTCAAAGAGAACCTAGAAAACAATACAGTTCAGAATGACCCAACTACAATAAAAATATTCTAGCAAAAGATAATATAAGAAATATATGCAAAGAATCGAATCTGGATACTGAAAAGGAAACCAACAAAAATAAAGAAAAAATAGTTTTACGAGAAGAAAACAGACCAGAAAAACATATAAACAGTCCCAACAAAAAACAACAAGCAATTTTGAAAGGCTCAAGTAGCACCAAATCCAGGAAAATGATAATTGACAATTCTACCTGGAGTGAACAAGTAAAAGAAGAAATCTTGACAATGTCAACCAGCAGAGGAAACATATCCGTTACTGAAAACCCAAAAGAAAACCTAGTGATACAACCAGGAGATATTGGAACTGGAGCACAAATCCTCAATTCAGAAATAGAAATAGATTTGGAAGAAGAAACCAGAGAAAACATCTCTCAAACAGACTGAAACCCTGAAGAAGAATGGCAGACTGGGAAAAGAAATAGAAAAACAAAAATCAATACTATTGGTAGGCCCAGGTCCAAATCCCCTTTCAATGAAAGAACCAGATTTGGAAGAGAAAGAGTTAAGACAGAAATAAAAGAAAGTATAATTCCAGGCTGAACAACAAGTCAAAAAGTCAAATTTCTTACTAAGAGCCTAGACTCTATCATTGGCCTCATGTAATAATGGGTCCCTAAAGTATTTAGCATATAAAATTTCGCAGATCACTTATGTCCTTTTTTGCGGGACAAAATTCATGGCTCTTCACTTTAATAGGGACAAAAACTAAGAAATGCTATAAATCAATGATTTAAATAATGAAGAACAATTGTGGGTAGTTTTTTTATAGTTATTAATTTAAAAATTTTAATGTTTCCTAGTAAGGAACATTTGACTTATGTCTCTGTCTCCTCCTTTAGGAACCCATCTTTACCTGCTGTCTACCAAATACAATTTCAAAAAGTCAGTATACTCAAAGTGCCACTGGTATTTTATTCTCTAAAAAAGGTAAAAAAAAACTGGACGGAGGGATATATCTAAATCTATAATCATATACAATATATAAAGTAGGTTCCAATGAACAAATTAACTATATAATACCCTCTGAAAAAATAGTTAATAATAGTAAAAATATGTTCAAAGACCTAAACTAGTAGTGTGGAAAGGAGATGTGTGAATGATATAGTATGTTCCTTAATTTTCAAATACTACCACCACTATTTGTGAGTTCAAAAAGAAACTTGAGCTGATAGATAAGTTACTGTGCAACTCATATGGGGGAGAGACTTTTGCTTGAGCCCACACTGTCCAATATTTCTATTGAATGTGCTTGTCATTAATGCACTCAGAGTAGTGGTGTTGGTGTGATACCTCATGTTATCTTGTGATAACTTCTAGCAATATATATATGCCAGCTTGTTAATTATTTCAAATGGTATTATCAACTTTAAAGTCAAGTATCGATGCCATTCAATTTAACTTTACCTAAGGTTGTCTTAGTACTGTAAAAAACTCTTCTATATCTCTTTAGTAAAATTACTTTCCAACCAGGTTTCAACTATATATGGGAGTGAACTACTTTTGTTGAACAGGAAGGAAGAATTCTTTAAGATGGTCATTTGTGTAGTTAATTTGATGGTGAATTAGTGAAAGGAAGCTCCTCTTGGTATGGTTGAGTGATTTTTATTTTACAAGATGGGAAAAATTCTATCTCTATAAAAGAAAGGGTTAGGGATAGTAGCATATATATAGTTGTATAGGTCGATCCAATACAGTATATTCTACCTTGCCACAAGCACTTTTTATCCCGATGCAGTAAAGTTGAGAGATATTCGTTAGGCCTCTATGTCCTAAGAGTTGAACTAACTAGTTTACAGCTATATGTTTCTTCCTCTTGCCTGATGAGAGTCAAAGACATGGTAGGGAATAGTGTCCTATATCCACCCATACCAAATCTATGTGACTTATGATAAATTCCAGGTTCTTATGGGGCTGAAGAAATATATTCATATACATGAAGTGACCAATGAAGATTTGTTTACATTCTTGTACTGACATGATTCTACTGGATCAATCAAATCATAAAAAACCTTGTGCTACTTAAAATTCAGGATCAAACTGAGGTAGGCAAAATTCCTCAGAAACAATTAAGAAAGAGCACTATTAGAGCCACATCAGTAATAAAGAGAGTGAGTGTAGTGTATTTGTGATAGCTCTCTATATCAACTAAATGACTCTGTGATGTTTCTCTATGAGAGGAGAGGTGGTAGAGCATCAGCTTTTCTTCCTTTCAGAACTTACTTGATGTGGATAGGAAAGATATATTTATGACTATTCAAGTCACTAGTAATCAAGTTTTTGTTTGAAAAGAGTGTAGACAAGAGGGAAGGGATATAAGTGACTCCTGAAAGACTTCTCAGAGTGATTTAAGGAAAGTGGTAAGACTATTGTCAATAGAAAAGCTAGAAAAGCTTTTCATATGTCTTTTTTGTATGTGATCAGAGAATTATCGGAAAGGAGGTTTGAAAAAAATATTATCTGTATATAATATTAAAAAAACTTCTATTTAATTGTTGAATCTTTTTTAACTAGTTCTTTGTCTTATTAGAAGCTTTATATGAAACTTTTTTCTTGTTTTCTATTTTTTTATCAATATAAAAATCAATTGTTTTATATACTTCTTTTTATATATATTCTCTGGCTTTTTTTGTAACTATGAATTCAAAAAGATAATTTAATATTTTTTTTTGTAGTTTATATAAAAGGCAAATAATTAGTAAATAAACTTCTGATTATTTTTTTTAAGTATCTTAGTATTAAAAGTTTATTATAGATCAAATTTATTAAAAAGCTTTTTTCTTTATTGGTTTGAAGGATATATAGAAAATATTAAATGAATTGTTTTAATTTTAAAAAATTAATTAATTTATGTTTTTGTCTTATTAAATTCAAAGATCTTGAATTTTCTTTTATAATATTCAGTCTAAATCAATTCTTTTTTTGTTTGCTATTTTTATGAAGTTTTTAATATTTATATATAGTATATTGTATATTCTTTTTATGAAATTATTGTTGGAACTTTTCTGGAACTCTTTTTACTGATTCTCTGACTACATACAAAAAAGATATTTATAAGAAGTTTTATACTTCCTTGCTAATAAAGTCTTTATACTTCCATTAAAACAATTTGAAACATGTCTTCATTTATTTCTCTTACCCTTTCTTACTTATTTATAAACTCTTTTAAATAAAAACTTGAGTCTTTAGTAGCTTGAAAAGACTCAAATA